ATCTTCTCATTTCTGATGCTGACTCTTGAAAATCCTCAGGTTAGAAATGCTGATTACAAACACAAGCGTGAACTTTTAAAGATAAGTTTTCCCTGTAATGCTATGATCCTCTCCTGTCACCTCCTCATCAAGAGGAAAAAGGATAAAAACTAACGACTCTATCGTACCTGCTGGTTAGTGGACACAACGACACACAACAGAACTCATGTTTTATACCAGTAGATCACAGATGATTCAACTTTTGTGACTTTTTCACAGACTAGCACTAGCAGCTAATGCTAAAAACAACAGGCAGTAAGCAGGAAGTGGAAAGGAGGAGTGTGGCAATAAATTTACTGGAAATACATCATTAATGACCGTGGTATGTAGGCTAATGAGAGCAGAGTTCTGACGTTTGGTGGTACAGTAAATCCTGTAGAACAGGGTCTTTGTTCCAAGCTGAAGACTTCATGTTTCCCTGTGTCCACAGCCTCCAATAGTCCCTAAAGTGTCTCATGAGGGCGACACATCGAACTTCGATGTGTACCCGGACAGCGACTGGAAGAAGGAGCCTCCTCTGTCTCCCAAGGACCTGGAGGTCTTCAAGAACTTCTGAGTGTGGTGTGTTGACTGGTTCCCATGTAAAGTTCCAGGTACTGTCGTGGAGAAGACCTGTGTCAGTGAGGGAGAGTGTGTGTATCTTCATCAGATGCTGTGAAGACATTAATTTATCTGCTATCAACTTGTTTAGTATTGTTTGTCCTCTCTGAGCCTGCTCTTATGCACACAAATGTCTGGTTCAAACCAAACGACTGTTACTTTTTACAACAATCAGGTCTTTTTGATATCTTCCTTTTATATTTTCTCTGTTTTTAATTCAACGATGACTTCGGGTCGCTGTTCCAGCCCAGCGTCGTCCACGACTTGTACTGTTTGAAGTCAGACACTTTATTTTGAAAAACCATGACTTGTAGCACTTGGGACAGTGCCTTACATCCAGGACCGAGGTGTGGTGGTGGTCAGGTCCACTTGAAGTGGGTGCTTCCTGCAGTCCTACAGTGTCCATGTGAGGGTGTGTCACCTCACAGCTCTGCTGCAGCTTCTTTAGTGGCTAAAMCCAGCGAGTCACGGCTGGTTGATGAGGAACCACCATGATTTGTTCCTCTCACCAACAGCTGGCCTCTAGGCAGACTGTGGAGTCTGGAATTAGTCCTGTGGACCAGTCAGTATTCGTCTGAAGTAAATACACATCAGTTATCAACACTTATGAATGATAATAATCCATTGTTCACATTAAACACTGTTAATGATCTCTGCTCTTCCTCGTCCACTGGACCTCATCACGGTGAGGAAAAGAACTGATTCTGTGAGTCCAGTAGGAGGATGAAGGATGGCCATGAAACTAAGAAATGTTAGTTTTTAGGAAGAAGAAAGGCTTATTTAGAGTATGATGGCAGCAAAACGTCTTGAAACCTTCCTCCAGGTCAGTGTGTCTTGCCATTTTCTTTTATTTCATCCACCATTAAAGACAGAGCAGTAAAAACAAGATGCTCCTCCCTCTTCAGACACGAGTCTAGTCTCTGTCCCAGTCTGAACGTAGTGTTTTAGATGCTCAAAACACGTTGGGTGTGAGCCCGGCTTAATGGACCTGTGGATAGAACCTGATCACTTATAAAATCCTCCTCCAGATGGTTTCCATCCTTACGTCTGACTCTTTCAGGCTTCTTTGGAACATTAAACAGACATGTTGCTGCCATCAAACTCAAAATGACCTGATTTATTATAATTACTTAGTTTAACTGTGTTCATGAGGTTTACAAATCACTACAGTCTGTTATTTACGTTTTACAAACAAACCCAACTTTTATATCAGGGTTGTTAAAAAAAAGCACCTTTTTATCTGATCTGGTTTCATGTTGCATCTGTAGAATTCCCTGATGATGTCATTGATCGTCTGCTTCTGTCTGACTGTTTTGTTTGTTTGTTTGTTTGTTTGTTTGTTTTTGCATGTGTCCTGACCCTAATGTGGCGTATATAAATTTATTTAATGCAGTTCTGCATCTGTCACCAAACAGAGTAAACATTTCAAACCCTACCGTTTCTGTCTCACTCCTTTCTTGGTTTGATTGTTCACTTTCCTTCCTTGTCTTTTGGTCTGGTTCTGGACAGGAAGTTGTGTGTGAACACACATACTTCTGTAAACCATTCTACTTTCCTGGTGGTTCTGAATGTTCCCCAGTATAAACTTTGGACAATAGAACTGTAGACCAGTCCGAGTCTCCATGACGACCCTGTCCACAACTAACAGTACCTCCAGAGACCGGTGAGCGTCAGACCTGAAGCACGGAGCAATGAAAGGACGAGTCCTCGTATCACTCACCAGACAAATCCAACACAGACCCAAAATCCCCAGATCTGGGTCCAGTCCAGCCTCCGTGTGAAGTTCTGAACAAACAAGCTCAGTTCTCACCACACAGTTTCAGAGACCCAAAGGTTCTGCTAACATCATGACGACAGTTAGACCTCTGTGTCTGTCTGCTAGCAAAGAAAAGAAAAGTCTTCAGATAGCTTGATGTGAAGCTCAGTCTTGTTGTGGTAGTAGCTGAGGGTCGATCCTAACACACTCAGGTCATCTATCAGCTCTGACAGTAACAACTACATCTCCATGAGTTCTGAAAGGTAGTAGCTGATAGGCATTTCTTCCAGGAACACTGTCATTGTTTTTATGTCCCTAAACTGTATTTGACCCAACAACAGATGAGTGGTCTCTGACCAGGTGAAGCCCCACCTGGCTAAACACATGATGCGCCTCTTTTCTTGTATTGGTTGACCAATCTGATGACCCGTCTCTGATGACCCCATCTCTAATGACCAGTCACTGATGACCCCTCTGATGACTTGTCTGTAATGACCAGTCTCTGAAGATCTCTCTCTGATGACCAGTCTGTAATGACCTGTCTGTAATGACCAGTCTATGATGACCTSTCTCTGATGACCTCTCTCTGATGACCCATCTCTAATGACCCCTCTGATGACCAGTCTCTGATGACCCCTCTAATGACCCATATCTGATGACCCCTCTAATGACCCATCTCTGATGACCCCTCGATGACCTGTCTCTGATGACCAGTCTCTAATGACCCATCTCTAATGACCAGTCTCTGATGACCCCTCTAATGACCCATATCTAATGACCCATTTCTGATGACCCCTCTGATGACCAGTCTCTGATGACCCCTCTAATGACCCATCTCTGATGACCCCTCTGATGACCAGTCTCTGATGACCCCTCTAATGACCCATATCTAATGACCCATTTCTGATGACCAGTCTCTGATGACCCCTCTAATGACCCATCTCTGATGACCCCTCGATGACCTGTCTCTGATGACCAGTCTCTAATGACCGGTCTCTGATGACCCGTCTGATTACCAGTCTCTGATGACCCATCTCTGGTGACCAGTCTGATGACCCATCTCTAATGACACGTCTCTGATGACCCGTCTCTAATGACCAGTCTCTAATGACCCCTCTGATGACCAGTCTCTGATGACCCATCTCTGGTGACCAGTCTGATGACCCATCT